TCACAATCAACTTGACGCATCCCGAGGTCACCCCAACCCACCCTTTCCCCACCTTCAAGCCTTACTCCGCTCGGTATGGTATGTCAACAAGGCTCACCTTCATCTCAGCCCTCGACCAACTGCACCCTGGGCTCCCCCTAACCCTAAACCCGAAAACAAGGGGGCTTTGAGCGGCTCTTTAGCAGTTTCACGTTTGAACAGGTTTGTTGGGGGAGCGCTTAAAGCTTGAAGTCCGAAATTATCACCGAAGCACTTGGCACATGACGCTTGCCACTGCAGCGACTCGCAAACCAATATTTGCTCTCTGCCCCGTAGCCTTCCTCTCAATTACAAATTAGCTTTCGATCTCACTGTCGAGTGGACCCTGCCTCCCCCCACTACATGTGCTGGGCGGCGTTGCTGTGGGGATCGATAGATGCTGGCTGTTTGGCTGCCTTTGCCCAAGGAGCTAAAGCTAGGTCTCTTATTAGGTGCAGTCGCGAAGGTGTGGAGATGCTGTCAAGTTGCTGTCAAGGTTTTGGGCAAGAATTGTTGGCCCGTCGCTCATGGATTTGATGAGCAACTCCCGTCCGGTCCACCAGGTCATGGAGGGCCCCTTTCTTCGATGCGGCTGCGGCCGGGAGTTTGCGTCTCTTGACGCAGGCTTGCAGCATCAAACCGCAACCGGCCACAGCAACTTGCCCTTGGTGCCAGTGGCGCTTGACATGGCCAAATGCAGCGCAGGGAAAGGCAGCCCTGCAGCGCCTTGGCACTTGATGGGTGCTTAGCATGGGGCCGGAATCTGCAGCTACATAGTTGGAGCTGTTTGTGGTTTGAATGGAAATGCATCTTATTGGAGGTGTTGAGGTGTTGTGGGTTGCAATAGGCGCAGCCTACCCTTGCATACTTGTGCCGAAAGATTTCTTTTGTCTTCTGGTCATGGCGCAAGCGGCAAATCGCAAGACGCGTCGACCTGTCGCACAGGATTGTCCTCAGAGCTGAGCCTTGGGCGAAGGCATTCCGCCGCTTCGCAAACAGCAGTAATTGTAGCTCCGCGGTCTGTTTTTGCGCAGTAGTTAGTTGAACTCTTCCAAGAAGAGGTTCCCCGGCGCAAGGCTTTGGCGGTGCAATCCGTTTGTCGGTGCAATCCAGCGTCCGAGTCAGAACCTTTACGCAGCAAAAGATCGGCGATTGTGGGGAGTCAAATGGTAGAGGGCTGAAGTCACACCAGGCACAGTACCAACAGGGGATAATGAAGTTCGACTTGGAGGAACTCCGCCTGGACAATGGGTTGGATGCCCCTTGAGATTGAGGCCTGTCAGCTGATGTATGCTTGCTTAATCGTTGGGCTACCTAGTGCCTGGAAGACCCCCGCAAAAAATGACTTGCCGGCACAATTGTGTGCGGGCCTGAAATGTTCTCACGCACGGGGGTTAAAGAAAACTTGGTTGGAGCCAAGCAGCAAGTATGGGCACGGCAATCTTCTTGTGCTTGTGCCGGCTTGGCTCAAGGTAAGGAAGCTGATCACAGCTCCCCCCCACGCGGCAAACTGGCAATAGGCAGGGATTGACCCCCTACGATTGAGGCTAGCCTTGGCTTGACATAGTTTTGCTCGGGCGGCCTTGCCGTTTGCCATGTAGAAACGTTGCCTCGGCCTCCCAGCGAAGCCATGCGCCGAGCGAATGTCCCGGGCCTGCCACTTGGTGGGACAGGGTGTCTGTGTGTGTGTGTGTGAACCGTCCTGGAACACGGATGTTAAGCAGGGGGGCCAGGCGTCTTGCTGCTGACCTGGTCTAACAAAGCTAGGCAGCAAGACGGGATACCGGAGTTGGCCACTCCGGCGTACCTGCATTTCCGTGATGCCTTTCCTTTCTTTTCCTGACTGTCTTTCTGTCCTGTTCGCTGTTGCTTCCCGGTTTCTGTTCGGCATTGTGATCTGTCAAGCAATTTCAGCAGTCGCAGGCTTTTCCAACCTTTGCATCTCGGCTAGTGAAGCCTCTCGAGATAAGTGTGTTTACCCACGGCCTGTCCGACATGGCGCTGTGGGCTGGACTCGCCATATGCGGGAGCCCCCTGCGAGGGGATGACGTTCAAAAGTTCACGTTCAGTGCAACCTCGCATTGCACTGCCTGCCTTTTGAACAAGGCAGCTCTCATGAGGTATCAGGCTCCGCAGCTTCATGTGCATTGCACTGCCTGCCTTTGAACAAGGCAGCTCTCATAAGGTATCAGGCTCCGAAGCTTCATGCGCAAGTGACAAGCCGGTCAGATACCGACTTTGCCGTTTATTGGTTCACGCTCTGCGCCGACTCAGATCAGTTCAATTCACGTTCACGCCCTGACCGCCATTTTCGTTTCTTGCAAAACTTTTTTCCGTTGCCGCGGGGTTTTTGGTCGGTCCCCTGGTGGAATTCCCTCGGTTTGGTTTTGTGTGCTGGGTTTTCTTTCTTTCGTTTTTCTTTCGTTTTTCGTCTTTGAAAATCTTTTGCTGTTGCCGCGGGTTTTTGGCGGTCCCCTGGTGGAATTCCCTCTGTGTGGTTTTGTGTGCTCGGGTTTTTCGTCCTTGAATTTTTTTGCTGTTGCCGGGGGTTTTTGGAGGTCCCCTGGTGGAATTCCCTCTGCTTGGTTTTGTGCGCCCGGTTTTTCGTCCTTGAAAATCCTTTGCTGTTGCCGCGGGGTTTTTGGCGGTCCCCTGGTGGAATTCCCTCTGTGTGGTTCGTGTCCGCCCCACCGGGGCTTTGTGTGTGTGTGTGTGAACCGTCCTGGAACACGGACGTTAAGCAGGGGGACCAGGCGTCTTGCTGCTGACCTGGTCTAACAAAGCTAGGCAGCAAGACGGGATACCGGAGTTGGCCACTCCGGCGTACCTGCATTTCCGTGATGCCTTTCCTTCCTTTTCCTGACTGTCTTTCTGTCCTGTTCGCTGTTGCTTCCCGGTTTCTGTTCGGCATTGTGATCTGTCAAGCAATTTCAGCAGTCGCAGGCTTTTCCAACCTTTGCATCTCGGCTAGTGAAGCCTCTCGAGATAAGTGTGTTTACCCACGGCCTGTCCTCGCCATATGCGGGGGTCCCCTGCGAGGGGATGACGTTCAAAAGTTCACGTTCAGTTCAACCTCGCATTGCACTGCCTGCCTTTTGAACAAGGCAGCTCTCATGAGGTATCAGGCTCCGCAGCTTCATGTGCATTGCACTGCCTGCCTTTGAACAAGGCAGCTCTCATAAGGTATCAGGCTCCGAAGCTTCATGCGCAAGTGACAAGCCGGTCAGATACCGACTTTGCCGTTTATTGGTTCACGCTCTGCGCCGACTCAGATCAGTTCAATTCACGTTCACGCCCTGACCGCCATTTTCGTTTCTTGCAAAACTTTTTCCGTTGCCACGGGGTTTTTTGTCGGTCCCCTGGTGGAATTCCCTCGGTTTGGTTTTGTGTGCTGGGGTTTTTTCTTTCGTTTTTCTTTCGTTTTTCGTCTTTGAAAATCTTTTGCTGTTGCCGCGGGTTTTTGGCGGTCCCCTGGTGGAATTCCCTCTGTGTGGTTTTGTGTGCTCGGGTTTTTCGTCCTTGAATTTTTTTGCTGTTGCCGGGGGTTTTTGGAGGTCCCCTGGTGGAATTCCCTCTGCTTGGTTTTGTGCGCCCGGTTTTTCGTCCTTGAAAATCTTTTGCTGTTGCCGCGGGGTTTTTGGCGGTCCCCTGGTGGAATTCCTCTGTGTGGTTCGTGTCCGCCCCACCGGGGCTTTGTGTGTGTGTGAACCGTCCTGGAACACGGACGTTAAGCAGGGGGACCAGGCGTCTTGCTGCTGACCTGGTCTAACAAAGCTAGGCAGCAAGACGGGATACCGGAGTTGGCCACTCCGGCGTACCTGCATTTCCGTGATGCCTTTCCTTCCTTTTCCTGACTGTCTTTCTGTCCTGTTCGCTGTTGCTTCCCGGTTTCTGTTCTGCATTGTGATCTGTCAAGCAATTGCAGCAGTTGCAGGCTTTTCCAACCTTTGCATCTCGGCTAGTGAAGCCTCTCGAGATAAGTGTGTTTACCCACGGCCTGTCCGACATGGCGCTGTGGGCTGGACTCGCCATATGCGGGAGCCCCCTGCGAGGGGATGACGTTCAAAAGTTCACGTTCAGTTCAACCTCGCAGTGCACTGCCTGCCTTTTGAACAAGGCAGCTCTCATGAGGTATCAGGCTCCGCAGCTTCATGTGCATTGCACTGCCTGCCTTTGAACAAGGCAGCTCTCATAAGGTATCAGGCTCCGAAGCTTCATGCGCAAGTGACAAGCCGGTCAGATACCGACTTTGCCGTTTATTGGTTCACGCTCTGCGCCGACTCAGATCAGTTCAATTCACGTTCACGCCCTGACCGCCATTTTCGTTTCTTGCAAAACTTTTTTCCGTTGCCGCGGGTTTTTTTGTCGGTCCCCTGGTGGAATTCCCTCGGTTTGGTTTTGTGTGCTGGGGTTTTTTCTTTCGTTTTGCTTTCGTTTTTCGTCTTTGAAAATCTTTTGCTGTTGCCGCGGGTTTTTGGCGGTCCCCTGGTGGAATTCCCTCTGTGTGGTTTTGTGTGCTCGGGTTTTTCGTCCTTGACTTTTTTGCTGTTGCCGGGGGTTTTTGGAGGTCCCCTGGTGGAATTCCCTCTGCTTGGTTTTGTGCGCCCGGTTTTTCGTCCTTAATTTTTTTTTGCTGTTGCCGCGGGGTTTTTGGCGGTCCCCTGGTGGAATTCCCTCTGTGTGGTTCGTGTCCGCCCCACCGGGGCTTTGTGTGTGTGTGTGAACCGTCCTGGAACACGGACGTTAAGCAGGGGGACCAGGCGTCTTGCTGCTGACCTGGTCTAACAAAGCTAGGCAGCAAGACGGGATACCGGAGTTGGCCACTCCGGCGTACCTGCATTTCCGTGATGCCTTTCCTTCCTTTTCCTGACTGTCTTTCTGTCCTGTTCGCTGTTGCTTCCCGGTTTCTGTTCTGCATTGTGATCTGTCAAGCAATTTCAGCAGTTGCAGGCTTTTCCAACCTTTGCATCTCGGCTAGTGAAGCCTCTCGAGATAAGTGTGTGTGTGTGTGTGTGTTTGCACGACACGTCCAGGATGGCGTTGCACACAGGCAAAGTAGCTGGAAGTAGTTCCAACACTGGAAGGCAAGTTGCCTCACCTGTTTGCTCAAGCCCTTTGATGATAGTCATGATTCACTGGCTTGAGGAGGGTTGGCAAGATGGGAATTTCAACAGGACTTAGGCAGATGACAGTCCAATTGCTGGAGCCTGGTGCTGTTTAGATTCGTTGAGCGCAACCTTGAACGCACCTTTGTCAGCCCAAGGAAATGGCTATGGCGGGTTAGATGGCCATTCTAGCATGACTTGGGGTGATGACTTTACAGTTTTGGTTTGCAGGAGGCGTCGTTCCAGGCGTCTCATGCGGATTGGCCCGAGGCTCGTGTGGCTGCTCTTGTTGCTGGCCCTTCTGCCTGGGCGCTGGCCGGCGCTGGTAGTGGAGGGTCCCTGGCAGACGGTGGCAGCGGCCTATGCCCCCTGCGGCGAGATGGGCGGGCCGGGGTTATGGGTTGGCTGTGGGCCAGCACCAACGCAGGGCCGTTATTGTGCAAGGGTTGGAATTGCTAGTGCTGCTTCCAGGTGGCAGGCAACTTACTTTAGCTTGCTTGATGACTTGGTTTTTCTGGCTCGGCCAGTTCTACGGTTGTCCCAACCTGTTGTGACACGAAACGCTTTGACATGCTTTGGTGCGACTGTCGCTTTTTCTGAGCATGTTGCATGCATTCAGGGCTGTCCTCTCGTGCCAGGCGGTTGGGTATCCAAAAATAGCCTCCATGGCCTTCCCATGCGCTAGCATGAAAGCTGACTACCAGGCAAAGGGAAGCCTAGAAGCGACAGCCTAGCCTATGGCAAGCAAATTGAGCCTATGGTAGTCAGCCTATGGCAAATAAATTGGCGTGGATCTTGAGCCGTTCCATCAATGAGCCCCGTTTTTGACAGTTTGTGTTATCGGTTTAGATTCTTGGGCAGGAAATGCAGGAACCCAACCCACGTATATCCGTATATCATATCAATTCTTTTTGTTGGTCCTTTGAGGACTTTCCAGTAGCGGTTGGCTTGGGCCACCAGTCAATTCCCTGGAATTTGGTTAAGGGTCATGGGCACCGCTCCTAGGTGTTGGGCCAGGGCCAACGACGAGCTCTTGCCCTTTAGCTTCAGCCCAAAAAAAAGAAGCCAACAACTCCCCCAAAACAACAAGCCACAAGGATATGACATGCTGTCATGCAAGCAAAGTGCGTTTTGGTCGACTTTTGGACGCCTTTCCTTGCCGGCGGTCTGGGCCCGAGGACAAGATCTCGGGGAACTTTGCCGCCTCCCGGCGCTTCCCCTGGCCTTTCGTGGTGCGATGGCTCGAGGAGTCCCAGGCGCGCGGCGGAGGTCGTGAGCGAGGTGAATCGGGTGGCTCTAGCAATCAGTTGCTTTTTCCGCACAGGGCTCGGCAACACTTGAGAAGCAATAAGCCGAAACTGGACGTGAGAACTTGACACTAGAAAGTTCTGCCAGTGCACTGCTAGGGCGGTCGGCTACTTGTGGCTGGCTGTGGGGATGGACGGCACGTGGACACTGCGCTGGGATTGGGGAAATTCGAGGAGGTCCTGGCAATGGCTCCTTGGCGCCACCCCAGCAGCCAAATCATGGGGGAAGCTTAGGGCACCCCGACTCTGCTGATGACTTGACGCTCAAAGATGTGGATTTTGCTTTTCACTGGCCGCCTACTTCAAACTTAGTCCACAAGTGAGAACGGGCTAGCCCCAACATGTCGCACAAATCAGTGGCAGCCTTCAGTGTTGTGGTTTTCCATCAAGCTCTCAGAATTAGTCAAAACTTCTTTGGCCTCGATCAAAAGAACCTGCCCGACCCTGGAAGGTCCTCGGAAGCCTTTGTCATGGCCGTCATGACTCCTGTTTTGGCGTCGGCCTGCGACAATCCAAGGACCTGTCCGGAGGCATGCTGCAGGCTGCCCGGCGGCGCCTCGGCAGCCGGAGCACGGAGGCGGGAGGGCATTGCCTAGGTTCCACGTGAAGGGCGCGGGTGGGGGGGGGGTCGGGGGTGGCAGCTTCTGCTCTTTGTGAGCATGATGTTTGCCTTGGAGAGGAGCATGATGTTTCGAGCAGCTTCTTTGTGAGCATATTCGTGCATGAGTGGAGGCGCAACGCTGAAGCTTGCGAGACCCTTGAAGGGTTCTCAAGAGCACAAGGGTGCAGGAACGCCATTTCGGAGTCTTATTATTTTTGAGGGAACTCCTGAATGTCCATTCCCAAGATGATGATGCCTGTGTTCCTCCCTGTCCCTGGGCCTGGGGGATTGGACGATGAGTTGGAACCTGATCCTGCTGAGAACCGAAACCTACGAACCATCGTGGCATTGGTGAAGGAGCTTATTACCCATGTAGGCGCAATGTGGGTCCAAAGTCCATCACCCATGTGTTTTCCTTTTTTGGAGCCCAGCTTTTCAAGCAGATGACGCGCCATACATTCAAACCTGGTTGCCACCTGGCCTTGCCAGTCCGCACTTGCGAACCTTTTAATTGACCTTTCGCCCGCTTCTCCTTTGGGGCCGTACCCGTCAACACGCGGCGGTCGCTGGTCAGGTGACCTATCTGCAGGCCGACACCCGGCAGGTGCCGCTGCCGCCGGCCTCGGTGGAGGAGGTGCTCTCCTGCGCCGCGGCCGTTGAGGCAGGCGGAGGTGTGAAGAAAAGTTGGCCCAGCGAGTGTCCGAGTGGTACTGTGGGTGGATGAAATCCTGCACCACCTAAGAAACCCTGGAATGATGATTCCCCTGTAAATGCCAACAAACATGGTTTCAAACTGGTGCAGGATTCCGTCCACCCACAGTATCATGGCTGCGCAGGACACCATGGCAACCAACATTTAGGTGTTTTTTTGGGTGTAGGAAGCCCCGGTTGAGCCAAACTGACTGAACATGCGCAACTTGAACATAGCAAAATACTTCTTGATCAGCCGGACAGTACCAATGACAGATAGAGGACAAGGAAGGATTGGCATCGGTAATGATGGAACACAGCAGGACAACACGCAAAAAACGCAACACAGGCGAACGCGCTTAAACAACTGAGGCAAAGTTGTGGTCAAAGCCAAGCCCGCCCCAGCTGTGGTCAAAGCCACCCCCCCACAAAACAAAGCATGAAAGCAGGACACACACGCACACTTAAACCAAGCACGTCGAAACAGGGAACCGCAGCAGAAGAATCCTAGCGCTGCGATGTGCCCCTCTTGAGGTGCGGTGCTGCATCACCTACCGCTGAACGAGTCGCTGAAGGGCCTGCGGGAGCTGGCACGAGTGCTGAAGCCAGGCCGGGCTTCAGCGGATCGTGTTCTAAGGAGGTTCTCCGGCAAATGAAGCATTGCCTTCCAGTTCCACAGAAACAGCAGATTTTTCCCGGGGCCGATTGAACTGTTTCAACTGGTTTCAATTTCGGTGGATTGTCACTTGCTTTTTCACTGGAAGTGTTGTCCAGTGTGCTTCCTGGAAGAAGCATTCCGGATGCACATTCAAATAGCAGGCTGTTTAACAAACTTGGCACAGCTCTTGCCCCAATTTCAATGCAACTGAGTCAACTTGGCAGCGCTTTCTCTTATTTTTAAAATCTAGTGAGCCAAAATTGGCGAGTGGCTTCGTCAGCTCACATTCACATGACAGTGACTTCAATGCCCCGGCCTGGCCCCTGCACAGCTGTTTCGAATTGATTGGATGGTCTCAGCAACAGCTTGATTCATTGATCTTTTGATGGTTGCCTGCACGTGGCAAGTTGAAAGTCACTTCTCTCCTGAAATGCTGCATGGGGGGCCCGTTGTGTGTGTCTGGTGTGGCCATTTTCCCTTGCACGCAGATTGGAACTGGATGCTCACATGCTCTCACTCCGGGACGTGGTTCAGTTGTGCTGGTGGTCTTGAATCCCCCCAGCCGTCTTTTGCGTGTGCCCCAGGCGGCAGGCTTTTGGCTTCATGCTGGGACCCTAGGGCCAAAGCGGTGGCCAAGCGCGGCCGCCCAGCTGAGGCTAGTGCAGGGGTGTCTGGGAGGAGCGCTCACCATCATCTGCCCAGGTTTGGAAGGGTTGCATTGGCAAGGCCCAGGATTGGGTGTGCCCGCCCCCGCCCCCGCGTCCACTTCTCATCTCGATGCGGCGCCCCCCAGCAGGCAACCCAGGGCTCATAGGGCTGCTGTCCAGCGAGCCGCCCAGGAATTAGGTGTCAGACGCTGTCCGGCTCAGCCCTTGCTGCAACAACAGCCTGAACTGCTGCGAAGCATTGTATACTAGCATATAAACATGCACATGGCGAGGCTGCCGCAACTTTTGCAATCACATGTAATCGCCGCACGCAGACCATAGCACCTAAGAGCACTTAATAGCTCGGACGTTCTCCTGCATACAAGTTTGCCTGTTGCAGGCTTGGCACTTGAAGTGACGCCGCGTGATGAGAAGCTGGTAGGGATTCAGGATTCAAACTATGGCCTTGTATGTGCAGTCATCATCTTTTTTCTTATTGTGTGCACGGGTTCTCGTCTAATTTTCTTGCTTTCGGTGGCACCCCATCCCTTCTGGGATGCAGATGGCAGGGTGCGGAGGATGCTTTCTGGGTTGCTTGGCGCTGCAGCGACGGAAGCGATGTGCAGCGTGGCTTGGCAACAGGTCTGGGCGAGTGGGTGCGCTGCCAAAAATTGGTCATGCGACTGCCGACACACCTGACATGTTGATGTTTTCCGGTTCCATTTCTGTAAGCTAAGCTCACCTCCCTGAGGTGGTGTTGTTTGGCCCTCTTCAGCATTGCATTCCGGCGTTTGGCGCAGAGAATGGCTTGTTTGCAGCTGAGGCTGGTACCACTTGCCCTCCTTGGAGCGGCGAACGGAGTACTGGAGCCAACTTGACCTGGATTTGAGGACGGGAGACAAGGGACGTTTATGGATGCGGATTGCTAATGCAGTGTCAGGGTGTTCCCTGAATGCCGGATATTTGGTGTCATTTCTTGGGTCGCCTCACTGCCCATGCCACAGCATCACCATTGCTCGCTATCGGAAATGCGAGTCCTTGAATCTCCCCTCGCCCGCCCGGGCGTGGCTTCCCTTTCGAGCCGTAGAAGGCCACAGGAGCTCGCAGAAGTATCCAGCATACAGAACAAAAGGCAGCAAGCAGGTATGACATGTACGAATGAAGAACAACCACCGGAGAGCCAACTTATGAGTCATTCAGCTCCAAAAACCTGTGATGAAGCTTTGGTTGGCAAGTCGCTCGCTCGGGTTCATGAACAGAGGCTCGGGCAGCTGGTGCCAGAGACACTTACTGTAAACATACTGACACAAGGCTGTGTCATGAGAGGTGCAATTCAAGAGAGGGGCACCCAAGGAACGCTTTTTGCAGGTTGCGGAGCTTGCAACATGTGCAGTGGATGAAACAATGAATGAGCAGGCTGTGACTCGCGCGTTTAGGTAGAGAGCGAACCATTTCCGCACAACCCGCAGAGGTTTCGCTAAATCCAAGGTGCCAGCAGCACTGATAGACCTTGATAACCGTAAGCAATCTCAGGCAACTTTGGGCTACGTGTGCAAGCTGTACATGCTGAAGCCAATGGTTTTTTGCAGCCAGAGGCGATCACAGACGCATTGATAAAGACAGCCATCCCCAATTCCCATTGAAGGTTCACATGTGCCCAGCACAAGGGTACAACGTCAGTGTTGACATGCATGGCTCCTCAGGAGGGCAGAGCTCGATGGGGACAACCAAGTCTTTGAGTGCCGGGCTAAGCAAGCCAGAATTGTGCAAATGCGCACGTTGCTTTTGGCACACAAATGCATCGAACATGTCGCGCGCCCTCAGCACGTACTTTCAGTTCGTCAAGGTTTCACAATCTTTGCAACGAGCCCCTGCCACCCCCAACCGACTTAAACCTCAAGGCTGCTTTTGGGTAGTTCACTTGCATCCCGAACAAGTCCGCATTTGGCGCCAGGTGGGTGAAGGTGCCTGCCCTGTGACGGTCAGATCTCCTCACTTCACCTGGCATCAGGAGGCCGATGGGCTCTCTGGATGGCTTGAGGGCATGTGTCGAGCCGATGGGCCTAGTTTTGAGGCATGTCCATTTCGCTATGACATCCGGTGACCATCCACCCACAGGTGGCATACATGCTGTACACGCACAGGCAAAGGAGCGAGGTAAAGGCGACAGAGCCTCAAGGGGCACGTCCCAGGTCGCGCGCTGCAAGGTGGTTGTCTACAAGCTTGGCGTGTGAGCAGCGGCTTGTCGCGTTCGGCAGCGCGCCCGAGAAAAGGTCTCGGAGTCTGGGGCTGGTGGCAGGGCCAGCGCATGGCAGTGACTGAATTGCGCGTGCCAGCCGTGCTGGATCCAAAAAAAGGCTTTTGGAGGTTTGTGCGCCACTCAGTGTGAGTTCTTGCTGACTTTCGCAAGCCGCACTCAGATCCACAAGTCGTAACTTAACTACACTGGCCGCCACAACCACCGGAAGGAATATTGTGTCCGTCTTTGCTGGGCAACTCATTTGTGGGTGAGACAACTGGAGGGCGAACTGGGCATGAGCGAGCTTCCCCTACATGATGCTCTGCCCATGTGATGCCCCTCATTTGCTGCCTATGCGCCACACCTCTACGGCGTGGTGTGGTGGGCCAAGGTACTTCTTAAAAGAACCAATCCGAACGAGGGGCGAGTTGCCCCCACCCGAAGTTGGGCCACCCCAGAAGCCTAGGGCACATTGCCGAGTGCGGGTCTTTCGATTCCGCTGCCATGACAGGTGTTGGTTATGCTCTGGCCAGATCACCGTGGCAGCTCCTGCTGCCGGGCGCCTGTTCGGGCCGAGGGAGGCTCATCATTGACTGGGTAGCTTCTGGGTTCGCGGCAGAGGGGGTGGGAACCAAGGCAGTTGCATAATGTGTTTGGTCAAGAAGGGTTGTGGGCCCAGCTGGATTCCCAACAAGCCGGCGGGGGCTCATGGATTCCACTTACAGACGGCCGACCTCTTGCATCCTCACGGCAAACCTTGCATTCGTTGGTTTGGCGCCTTTGCACATGCTTTCTTTCCAGGCATGCCAATGCTAATCTTTTCTGCATCCTTCCAACGGCTGCCTGGTTGGGGAAGCAATGAAAAGGGGGCTCCCTGATGGTGAAGGACACCCTTCATGCGCCAGGACTGCCACAAAGGTGCTGCAGTTTCTGTGTGCAGTATGCTTTTTGGCCAGGCGACCAAGCCATCAACAACTCACACCACAAGCAGTGGCTTTCCATTTGTAGGCCCGACATTTTGGTTGAGGAGTCTGGGTCTTTGATTCGCCGAAGACTGTTTGATTCGCGTTCTATTCCCTAAATTGAACCTCCTGGCGTGTTTTGGCCTGGGTTTGGCATTTTCCCCAGCACTTGATTTCCGTTGATCCCTAGGCCCTCCATGCCAAGGCTACAGAGCCTGGCAAGACGAGCACGCATTCGGAATCTCCTGCACTTGCAGTTTGCTCTTCGAGACTTAGCCCACGAACCTGGGCCATGTGCACTTGAGGCGGTGAGGCGGCCCCAGATTGCGTTGCTGATTGGTCTAGCAAGCCGCACAGAGCGCGGCTCAAGGCTTCAGGTGCTTTGGTTCCTTGTCCGGGGTTAATCCCATGGCCTGGTTTGGCGCTTGGTCTTGCCTCATTGGAGAAGCAGATGGAGACGTGGCCACAGTGGCTCGGGATGAGAGTTTGGACACGTTTCATGTTGATTGCCAGGCACACCCGGAGCTTCCAACTCTAAAGTGCATGCCAATTGCATGCTTTCCCCTTCTGGGCAAATCGGGACGGATGGACCTGTGGGCTTGATTGTATTACCGCTACCTTCATAGCATCGCATTTGTTGCAGGCTGTGGCCATTTCCTGATCCTTGCTTCGAAGGCCAAGCCAGTTAGCTGTCTCATCTGCCCTCCTCCAATGAAAATTGTGGGGCTTCTGTTCGAGGAATTTGAAGCTCTCAACTGGTTGCCTGACATCATCAGGTGACAGGATGCAGCTGGACCATACCAGACTGATGTGGGTTGTGTCATAGATCCCTGAGAGGGAGATCTTGTCGTGGTTGTTTAGCTTATCTATGGGGGCAATGCCCATTACTGCCAACCCCGAGTTGGCAGACTTTTTAACCACAGCATACATGAAGACATTCTACGGTCATAGATTTGGGCTTGCCTCTATCAATAAATTGCATGCCTTCTCTACGCGGCGGGGGGGGGGGGGGGCTATACAGGCTTGCCGACTCGGCAACATTTACCCCTAATTCTGGGGAACGTTCGCCCCAAATTGGTGGTAAATTGCGATCAAGTTGGGGGGAAATTGGGTGTATCGGGGGTTAATTTTTGGGGACATTTGCTAAATTGGGAGTAGTTTTGGGAGAAATGTTGGGGGTAGTTTACCCCCCCAGTTTTGGGGTAAGTTACCGCCATTTTTTGGGGGTAATTTACGCCCAAATTTGGGGGGTAATTTACCCCCGATTTTGAGAGAACTTGGGAGTAAATAACGGGTCCAACAATTGGGGGTAAATTTTGTTACTGCTACAGGCAAGGCTTAAGTCAAAGAGTCATAGTATATTCACTCTGCCTTGCAGTAGGCGCTTTTAGCGACGTTGCTTGTGCGTGAATTCGTTCAACATGTCAACACATTTGGAAAGCCACGGCTCTGTCGGTTTGGGTTGACCCTGACTGCAAGGTAGAGGGTGGCTAGAATTAAGATCGAGGCCCCTGCTGGCAACCGTCAGGGCAACTGCTCGTCGGCCGGGCTATTGGAAGAATCAGTCTCTGGTCGGAACAGCCCCGCGACACCTTTCCGGGGGACCCAGCACCGGCCCCAGGTGGACGTGGTGCAGGCCCCGGTCCCGTCTGAATCCAACCCCCCAGCAAGCCCCACACGTTCCAGATCCGTGATCATCGAAACATCCCAGGAGCGACCGGCTGGGCAAAGGGCAGTTTGACCACATCACCCGGATGTATTTCTGGTTCTTGCCAAGGGCACTTCCTTGTGCTGCTCCGACCTTCTGAAGTGTGGAGGAAAAGTGAGTAGATTAGACTAGATGATTAGATGCTTGGAGTGTGAGACGAACAGCTACCTGTGGGTTTGCTTTGCTCCTTGAGTTCAGTCACTACTTTGGCGAGAGGTTGCATGCTTTAGACCAAACTGTGACCTGTTTATTTGGCCATGTGTTCTGCCTGGACGTAAATGGGAATGCGCACGTAACAGGTTATGTAATGGGTCATGTAAGTGGTTTTGTATGTATATGTGTGAGCAGTGGGGTATTTACACGCTGACGCGACACAGCCGGCCACCGGGCACCTGGCCCTGCCCGTTCTATCACTTCCCTTTCCGGTAAGTCCGGTGAGTAGATGTTAAGATTTAAAAATTCCAAAAACTTTGAGATTCTAAGGGTCTCAGATTTGAAGACGTTTGGAATTTAAGGTTTCAATGGTATAAGAATTAAGGGTTGAAGATTCAAAGATTTAAGGTTTTTGAAGGTTATAACAGCCAGGCCATTGCCCAGCCATTTTCCATCCATTATCAGATTTCGAAGGCTTTAAGATTTTATTTTTTGTGAGATTTTCATATTTGGCGACTTTCGGAATTTAAGATTTTAAGATCTTAAGATGTCAAGACTTCAAAATTTCAAGATTAAGAGTTTAAGGAATTTAGAATATAGCCCGGATTGAAGGAATTTTATTATATTTTACTTGTTCATGAATTTAAGATTTCCAGATTGCAATAGTTCGAGATTTAAAGAACTTAAGTTTTTGAAGCTTTTAAGATTCTGAGATTTTAAGAGTTTGAGAATTTAGGAATTTCATATTTTAAGATTTTAACATCTGAAGATTCAAAGACATGAGGGTTTCTGTCACTTCCCTGTCCTGTAAGTCCGATGAGTAGATGTTAAGATTCAAAATTCTAAAAACTTTGAGATTCTAAGGGTCTCAGATTTTTTGAAGACTTTCGGAATTTAAGGTTTCAATGGTTTAAGAAATAAGGTTCTAAGATTCGAAGATGTAAGGTTTTTGAAGGTTATAACAGCCAGGCCATTGCCCAGCCATTTTCCATCCATTATCAGATTTCGAAGGCTTTAAGATTTTATTTTTTGTGAGATTTTCATATTTGGCGACTTTCGGAATTTAAGATTTTAAGATCTTAAGATGTCAAGACTTCAAAATTTCAAGATTAAGAGTTTAAGGAATTTAGAATATAGCCCGGATTGAAGGAATTTTATTATATTTTACTTGTTGATGAATTTAATATTTTCAGATTGCAATAGTTCGAGATTTAAAGAACTGAAGTTTTTGAAGCTTTTAAGATTCTGAGATTTTAAGAGTTTGAGAATTTCGGAATTTCATATTTTAAGATTTTAACATCTGAAGATTCAACGACATGAGGGTTTTAAGAAGTCAAGATTCGAAGACTTGAGGATGTTTATATTTTCAGGTTGCAAGATTCTATCTTCTAAGGTTGTAATTTTAAGATCTTAAGGTTTCAAGATTTTAAAAATTCAAGATTAAGAGTTTAAGGAAGTTAAAATATAGCCCGGATTGAAGGAATGTAATATTTTAATAATTTAAGATTTTCAGATTTCAAGTGTTCGAGGTTTAAAGAATTTAAGTTTTTAAAGCTTTTTCAGATTCCGAGATTTTAAGATTGTAAGACTTTAGGAGTTTCATATTTTAAGAGTTTAAGATCTCAAGATTCTAAGACATAAGGTTTTTAAGGTTTGAAGATTCGAAGACTTTAGGAAGTTTTTATATTTCCAGATTTTAAGATTCTAAGTTCTAAGATTTAAAGATCTTGAGATTCTAAGATTGATTGTTAGATTTTAATTTGAGATTTTAAGAATCTAAGACTTTAGGATTTTGAGATTTCAATCCAGGCCATTTTCCATCCATTTTCCACCCACTTTAGATTTTAAGATTTTCAGGTTGCACGTTTTCGGCAAAATTGGCCCGACTTAGGGGACAACATCGCCAGCATGCATAACATCATCCGCATCATCCGGGATGATGCTGGCAATGCTGGGGGTGTTGTCCAGTATTATGCACCCCCTAAAAATGCTCGTTTTTGGGCGCTGCGGGGAGATGCTACAAAAATCGCCTAAACCAATCCGCGAATCCTTCGCCCCTTATAAGGGCAGGCCCAGCACAAAACGTATGCGCATGGTCCGCGCATGGTCGGCGGCATGGGGCGCGCGGCCTTATACCTGAAGGTAAGCCCTAACGGGCTTTGGCCTGCGGCCCGATCACGTCCGGTGGCCGGATTTACACGCTGACGCGACACAGCCGGCCACCGGGCACCCCTTCCCGTTCTTTGATTTCCTTTCCCTCCAAGTCCTGCTAGTTTTCGGGATGATTTGAATGAACTTTTCCTTTGCATGTCTTCCCTGACAGTTTCCTGGCATGTCCCTTCACTTCCACTTCACTGCCGTTTCAGCTCCCTTCATTTCCTTGAAGACTCCTTTATTCGCATTCTGTCCGGTCCCCTTCACGTTCTGCCCTTGCATTTTCCTGCATCTCGGTTTCTCTCCAGTGCCCTCCCCATTTTTCGTGCCATTCCTTTGACTTTCATTTTGTTCACTTCCAGTCACTCCTGCTTCCTTGCATTTCCCCTCAACCCCTTGTTTCGCATCGCCAGCATGCATAGCATCATCTGCATCATCCGGAATGATGCTGGCAATGCTGGGGGTGTTGTCCAGTATTAGGCACCCCCCAAGAAGCGCTCGTTTTGTGACTCTGCGGGGAGATGCTACAAAACTCCTCAAAAATCGCTTAAACAAATCCGCAAATCCTTCGCCCCTTATAAGGGAGGGCCCAGCATAAAACGTATGCGCATGTTCTGGTCATGGTCCGCTCATGGTCGGCGGCATGGGGCGCGCGGCCTTATACCTGAAGGTAAGCCCTAACGGGCTTTGGCCTGCGGCCCGATCACGTCCGGTGGCCGGATTTACACGCTGACGCGACACAGCCGGCCACCGGGCACCCCTTCCCGTTCTTTGATTTCCTTTCCCTCCAAGTCCTGCTAGTTTTCGGGATGATTTGAATGAACTTTTCCTTTGCATGTCTTCCCTGACAGTTTCCTGGCATGTCCCTTCACTTCCACTTCACTGCCGTTTCAGCTCCCTTCATTTCCTTGAAGACTCCTTTATTCGCATTCTGTCCGGTCCCCTTCACGTTCTGCCCTTGCATTTTCCTGCATCTCGGTTTCTCTCCAGTGCCCTCCCCATTTTTCGTGCCATTCCTTTGACTTTCATTTTGTTCACTTCCAGTCACTCCTGCTTCCTTGCATTTCCCCTCAACCCCTTGTTTCGCATCGCCAGCATGCATAGCATCATCTGCATCATCCGGAATGATGCTGGCAATGCTGGGGGTGTTGTCCAGTATTAGGCACCCCCCAAGAAGCGCTCGTTTTGTGACTCTGCGGGGAGATGCTACAAAACTCCTCAAAAATCGCTTAAACAAATCCGCAAATCCTTCGCCCCTTATAAGGGAGGGCCCAGCATAAAACGTATGCGCATGTTCTGCGCATGGTCCGCGCATGGTCGGCGGCATGGGGCGCGCGGCCTTATACCTGAAGGTAAGCCCTAACGGGCTTTGGCCTGCGGCCCGATCACGTCCGGTGGCCGGATTTAAGGGCTGCCGCCCAGTGCCGCCGACCCCTCCGCTGGGGGGCCAGCCCAGGTTTTTTTTGTTCTGTCAGCGGCTTTTGGCTGGTTCAGGCTTGCTGGCTTGCTTGCTTGCTCGCTTGCTTGCTTGTTTGCTTGTTTTCAGCGCTTTTCCAGGCCGCACTCGTTTGCCCACAGCGAGCACCAACCAAAGGAGTGCTATATAGAAAGTAGACAGCTATCGGTCCCCAGGGCGCAACCAGCAAGAACAGCTTCGCGTCCAGCGCGCTTGGAGGCCGCACTCGCTTCGCTGCAGCGAGCACGAACCAAAGGAGTGCGCCGGCAGCCTGCTCCGCCGCGGCCGAGTGCCTAACGTCGCATTTGAGTCCAATATGCAGCAAAGCTATCGGTCCAGAGGGAGCGGCCAGCCACAAAAGCTTCGCTTCCCGCGCTTTTCCAGGCCGCACTCGTTTGTCCACAGCGAGCACCAACCAAAAGGAGTGCGCCGGCAGCAGAAAGGAAGAAAAGAGGCCGAACGGGCGGGCCGTGACAAAGCTTCAGCGCTGAAAACTGTGCCCTGCAGGTGCTGGAGCGCTTTTCCAGGCCGCACTCGTTTGCCCACAGCGAGCGCCAACCAAAGGAGTGCGCCGGCAGCCGATAGGAAGAAAAAAGGCCGAGCGGGTGGGTCTTCAGCGCGAAAAGCTGTGCCGAGCAGGTAGTTGAGCACGCTCGGCCTCCTCAGCTCAGGGGCAGTTGGTGTAGTGGCATCACACCCGCTCAGCACGCGAGAGGGGCCGGGTTCAATCCCCGGCCTGTCCATGCCCATGTGCGCCTGCGTTGGTCTTTCTCGCTTAGGGTTTGCTGTGCGTCTTGCCAAGGGCGGCTGCTGCGCCGCGGCCGGGTGCCGAACGTCACTTTTGAATCCTATATATAGAAATAGTATTAGTTAGAAATAGTATTAGTAGAAAGTATAGAAAGTATAGAAAGTAGAAAGCTATCGGTCCCCAGGGCGCAAACCAGCAAGAACAGCTTCGCGTCCAGCGGCCTCTTTTCTTCCTATCTGCTGCCGGCGCGCTCCTTTGGTTGGTGCTCGCTGTGGGCAAACGAGTGCGGCCTGGAAAAGCGCTCAAGCACCTGCAGGGCACAGTTTTCAGCGCTGAAGCTCTGTCACGGCCCGCTCGTCCGGCCTTTTTGCTTCCTTTCTGCTGCCGGCGCACTCCTTTGGTTGGTTCTCGCTGTGGGCAAACGAGTGCGGGCCCGCCCGTTCGGCCTCTTTTCTTCCTTTCTGCTGCCGGCGCACTCCTTTGGTTTCTTTCCTTTTCCTTTCTGCTGCCGGCGCACTCCTTTGGTTGGTGAAACGAGTGCGGCCTGGAAAAGCGCGGGAAGCGACGCTTTTGTGGCTGGCCGCTCCCTCTGGACCGATAGCCTTGCTGCATATTGGACTCAAACGCGACGTTAGGCACCCGGCCGCGGCGGAGCAGGCTGCGAACGGGCTGGCCGTGACAGAGCTTCAGCGCTGAAAGCTGTGCCCAGCAGGTAGTTGAGCACTCTCGGCCTGCTCAGCTCAGGGGCAGTTGGTGTAGTGGCATCACACCCGCTCAGCACGCGAGAGGGGCCGGGTTCAATCCCCGGCCTGTCCATGCCCATGTGCGCCTGCGTCTGGCACCGTTTGCCTATCCCTGGCACGAACCAAAGGAGTGCGCCGGCAGCCTGCTCAATATGCAGCAAGGCTATCGGTCCAGAGGGAGCGGCCAGCCACAAAAGCTTCGCTTCCCGCGCTGGTCCAGGCCGCACTCGTTTGTCCGCAGAAAGGAAGAAAAGAGGCCGAACGGGCAAGCCCGCACTTGTTTGCCCACAGCGAGCACCAACCAAAAGGAGTGCGCCGGCAGCAGAAAGGAAGAAAAGAGGCCGAACGGGCTGGCCGTGACAGAGCTTCAGCGCGGAAAGCTGTGCCCAGCAGGTACTTGAGCACTCTCGGCCTCGGCTCAGGACCAGTTGGTGTAGTGGCATCACACCCGCTCAGCATGCGAGAGGGGCCGGGTTCAATCCCCAGCCTGTCCATGCCCATGTGCGCCTGCGTTGGTCTTTCTCGCTTTGGGTTTGCTGTGCGTCTTGCCAAGGGCGGCTGCTGCGCCGCGGCCGGGTGCCGAACGTCACTTTTGAATCCTATATAGAAATAGTAGAAAGTATAGAAAGTATAGAAAGTAGAAAGCTATCGGTCCCCAGGGCGCAAACCTGGTGCTCGCTGTGGACAAACGAGTGCGGCCTGGAAAAGCGCGGGAAGCGAAGCTTTTGTGGCTGGCCGCTCCCTCTGGACCGATAGCCTTGCTGCATATTGGACTCAAACGCGACGTTAGGCACCCGGCCGCGGCGGAGCAGGCTGCGAACGGGCTGGCCGTGACAGAGCTTCAGCGCTGAAAGCTGTGCGCAGCAGGTAGTTGAGCACTCTCGGCCTGCTCAGCTCAGGGGCAGTTGGTGTAGTGGCATCACACCCGCTCAGCATGCGAGAGGGGCCGGGTTCAATCCCCGGCCTGTCCATGCCCATGTGCGCCTGCGTCTGTCACAGTTTGCCTCTCCCTGGTCTTTCATCCCTTTGGGTTTGCTGTGCGTCTTGCCAAGACCGGCTGGTGCGCCGCGGCCGGGTGCCGAACGTCACTTTTGAATCCTATATAGAAAGTAGAAAGCTATCGGTCCCCAGGGCGCGACCAGCAAGAACAGCTTCGCGTCCAGCGCGCTTGGAGGCCGCACTCGCTTCGCCGCAGCGAGCACGAACCAAAGGAGTGCGCCGGCAGCCTGCTCCGCCGCGGCCGGGTGCCTAACGTCGCGTTTGAGTCCAATATGCAGCAAGGCTATCGGTCCAGAGGGAGCGGCCAGCCACAAAAGCTTCGCTTCCCGCGCTTTTCCAGGCCGCACTCGTTTGTCTACAGCGAGCACCAACCAAAGGAGTGCGCCGGCAGCAGAAAGGAAAAGGAAAGAAAAGAAACGAAGAAGAACAAGAAAAAAGTGAAAGAAAGAAGGCTGGTAAGGTACAGGGCTGAACGGGCGAGGGCGAAAGGGAAGGGAGAAGGCTGCCACAGTCACGCTCCAACGCTAAACGAACACTCCCCCAGCGCCTTCCCCTTGCAGGCAGGGGGGTCGGCGGATTTTGCCAGGTTACTGATGCGCTTTGTGAGAAAACAGCATATGGTCTGAGGTTATTCCTGGTTGGGTGTCAATGTGCAAAATGTCATGCCCCACATGACCTGTGCTTTTGCAGGAAGCGCAACAGGCAGTTAGGATTCGCGTGCATATCACCATGTGAGTCCTTGACTTTCAAGTTGCCAAACAATGCCATAGGCCCACCTTAAGAGCTACACTGCTTCGCCTTCTTGTAGCCAGTTTGTCTATGGATCATATGCTCTTGCCTAGTGGACTCCACGCTTGCATTATATTTGCGCCGGGCTGGCGCAAATGCACCACATGATTGGAGTCGGGCCGGCGCAAGTGCATCATGTGTTCGTAGATTTGCGCCGGCCCGGCGCAATGCAGCCCGTTGTTGTTCATGGCCAAGTTTGCTTAGATTTGTGCCAGGCCAGTGTGAATTCGACCCAATCTGGCTTGGCGTGACTGTTCTGCGCAGAGGTTTTTAGCCAAGCCCCAGGCCCATAAAAAATCTCTCGCTTCCTAACAACCTTGAACTTGCTGTCGCAGGTGCGCCATCCTTGCAAATCTGTCCAATTGTTCTTCTCTTGCGCGTTCCTGCTTGTTGTGCCCACGATCGTATTTTCAACGCATGCTCCATCCGTCTCCCTTGTGGCCTTTCCACCCGGAGTCTCGTTTTTGTGCCAAAAGTTGCCGTTGCTCGTGTGTAGACTGCCAACGTGCAACAGTCGCGCGTTCCGCTTGCGTTCTCGGGCAGCAGCTTTGCCTCGCCTGAACGGTTCAGTGGTCCGTGGGTGGTCAGCGCGCAAGTGGTCAAGTTCAGTAGCTAGCAGTTGGCACTTTTGGCCCAGCCTCGCGACAACTTCGACTGCATGTGGGCCTGTTGCCCTGCGCCAGGCGGCTCACCCAATGGGCCGCGCACTTCCCCAATCCTGAAGTAAGGGGCTGTTTATTTTTGCACCTGTTGACCGTCCTGGGGCAAACTAGCCCTTTTCCGCTCAGTTCGCAACATATGCGCGAAAGTGTAACATACCCGAAATTCGCATCAGCCATTCCTTTTTCCAGATCGATCTGATTTCCCTGGGTTCAGGCTTCCCAGTTGGCGCGGCGGAGGGAAATCGAAGTGTCCATTGCTAAGCGCGAACTGCATCTTTCGAAACGCGCGAGCTTTTTGTGTCGATGAAGCTGAGTTGGTTGGCAACTCAACGGCAGGAGTGTGCCCAAACACTTAACCAGCAGAGCCGTTCTGAACTGTTCCCGAAAAGTGCGCAGGCCGAGGCCTGAACTGTTCTGAACCGTTCAAGTTGCGAGCGTGCGCTAACCCAGGTTGGTTCAGAGCCGTTCTGAAGCGTTCCGATCCCATGAGCCGTTCTGAACCGTTCTCAGGGATGATGCCCGGAAACGAAAGAACCGTTTAAGTTATGAACCTCAAGTGCTGACAATGTAACATGTAATTACGATTGCTGCTCCTGATGATTGATCCGCTTATTATGTGTTGGCAAAGGCTGCTGTTTACCGCGAGTAAGACGAGAGCAGGGCACGAGCGCAATACCGTGCCAGGAAAGGTCACGCTCCCACCGTTGCGCCCCAGGCTCTAACAGCACATCAACTGCTTGGCCTTGCGCCAAACCTAGAAACCCTGCTCCAACCAGACAGCATGTTACACTGTTACACTCACGTGGCAATTCTGGTTTTCATGCTGCTGGGTATTGTGAAGTTGTGTGGCCTTTTGTTTGTGTGCTACACTGTGAGCGCAGTGTTGGGGGTTGATGTGTATTTGGCCGTTGGTTTGCTGCAAGCGCAGGGCTAGCTTGCAACAGTGTTCTGACGCTGGCTTTCACATGGCTTTCTAGGGTCAGGACAGTCCAGCACATAAAGATGCCACAGTTTGGTCTAATGAATGCTTGTTAAGGGTCAATATGAAGCGAGGGATCAAGCAACCGCTGAGTCTGGGCATATTGCGCCCTCTCCGGGCACTTCACATTGCCCTTTCCTCCTCGGTTTTTCATGGGAGGGCGGCTTTAAAGCCCAGCCGAGCCGACATTGGACGAGACTCGCTACGTGAGTAGTTCAAGCCTGCGCGGCATCCCTAGGTTTCACGCACAGTTTGTCAACGGGTTTCAGATGTCCAATGCATGAGCCCCCATTTTTTGGTCGCAAATGGCACTGCTTTTGGAGGACCGCCCTTCCTTTAACAAACTACGAGCAAACGGAAACGGCAAATGCTGGCAAGGGAGCGCTCGCGAGGACATGAAACAGGAATACGAGCCGGAGGAGACTCCGCCCGAGTCTACATTGAGCGGATCCCGGAATCGAACCAGCAACGGTGGCAAGGAATTTGGCAAACGTTTATGATGAGGCCAGTCATTGGCTGGAACAGGGTAAATCAAAAGTCTCTAAAGTCCTGCCATCACTCCAGATCCCAGCCAAACCGAAAATTGAGCAACCGCATGGCCGTTTAGACGTTTCACAAACATGGTCAAGCAGATCACTTCGGAACTTCGAGTGCCTAGTTGATTTTAGTCAGCTAGTTCGCGTAGGGTTTTTGTCCGTTTTCCTTTTGGGCGGGGAAGGTAGTGAGCCAATGAGCCCAGGCACCATGCGAGCCAGTCTCTGCTCCATCTCCACCGGGGACCACGACTCGACGCGCTCCCGCTTCAGCACCCGCTCCAACCTTGAGAAGCTTCGGGTGCCCCTGGAGACCAGGGGCCGCGACTCTGTGGCCTGGACTGAAGGGTTTTGCCGCATGGCGATTTCAGATTGCCCTTCTGGCCAACCTTCCGATTGCTGCTTCGCAGGTGTCAACCATGACTTGCGCCAATCGTTTCGCAGCACGCGCATACCAGCCCTGCAAAGGGGACAGCCCTGCACGCGTGGAACTGGGCACAAACCGCTCACTTCATTTTCCATATTTGTTGGAGGCAGGCTCTCTGCAACTAGGCACCTGTGCTTTGGTGTCCCCTGCCCGGCCGCTTTGAGTGCGCTCTGCAAAAACATCACATTTGGCACGATGAAGAGGGGTTGCAATGATGTGGCATTGTGCGCTTTCCACCGTGTACATGCACTGCTGCAACCAGGTGATGGGAATGCCAAACCTGCGTTTTCCTGTGCTTCCCCGACCTTCGGTGCAGCCGTAAGGAGTTGCACATTGAGGGCCGAGGTTTACTTGACAAATATTGTCGGACAATGGGCCAGCTTTTGGATGGGCCCAAATGGTTTCCTGCGGTTTGAGAACTGTTGCCTGCTCCAAAGACGGTAGCATTTCAAGCGCGCAAGAGTCTGGAGCGCACAGTGCTTCACTCGGTGCCTCGACCCTTGGCCGATGCAGAGCAAACTGGGGGTGGGCGTCATGTGCGTCTCCTGCCCCAGGTCTTGACCTTCCACACAGGCGTCAACCACGACTTCATCATGGGGGATGAGCTGGGGGTGGGAGGCTTCGGCAGCGTTTACCTGGCCAAGAGCTGCTTGCCTGGAAGGAAGGCTCCAGCGGCTCCAGTCGAATGGGGGACGGAGAAGCTCTTTGGCTCCATCCTTTTCTGTGGGGGGCATGTTGGAAAACGAGGTCCAACCGGACTGCGGTTTGTGACCGTGAGTTAAAGAAGGCTACCCGCAGAATTCGACGTCTGTGTTCATGAGGAATGTACGCGCCGCCTCATTCAATGAGACAGAACCAGCCATATCAACCGAGTACAACTTCAGGGGTCAGAGCTGTCTTGTTTCCAAGATTGGGCCCTGCTCAGGTATTTCCACCTCGAAAGATGTGGCGGTCAAGATCATCCCCCTGAGCAATCTGGACTCAGCAAGGACGGCGGACTTTAAGGCGGGGGCACCGGGCAAAGGGTGCTTTGACGGCCGAAACGAGGGGATTGGGCTGTTGAGATCTTTGGCAGCTTGGCCTTTTTAACGATTGCCTGCCTCCGCGCCTCGCTCATGGAGCCTTGTTTGCTTTGTAGGGTGGCTGAGCATGGCCAATTGCCTCGGGGTAAAGCTGGCCATACCCGCTGTTGCTTTTTGGATTCTTTCACCAGCACTTTGGTCCTGCGCTAGTGCACGGAGGTTCCCCCCAATGCTGATGATGCGGCGCTTCTGATAAATGACAACGGAGATCGGTGGTGATGAGCACGAAGACGAGAGACTGATGATGAGGAAGGGGCGAGGACGGTGATGAGGATTATTGATGATGATGCTTGACAACGACGATGAGGATGATCATGATTCGATCGTCATGGTCATGGTC